TGTGTGCTCTTTCTCTGGCTCTTTTTATTTATTAACTTGTTATTACTGATAACACCCTCTGGTGTTAACCATTTATTAACCTCAGATTTTGTTGTAAGAAGGTTGCGTGTTTTTGTGATTTGTATGAATAATAATTATAATTTTATATGAATATATCGAGGTAAGTAACAAATTAAGCACATGTTACCTGTATACAGTATTATTCATTTGTTACGTCTCTAAAATAGATGAGCAATTCATCAAATATGGTGTACTCCGATCGGGAGAAGATGCTATTGACTACGTTGGTAAGAGAAAATCCCCTGGTAGAGGATAAAAGAGCGGACGCTGCGATGATAGCGGATAAAAAGCGCGCCTGGGACTTGATCACACGATCATTTAATTCCCAGCCCATAGTTAATAGGACACGGACATCCCAACAGTTACGCAGGTTGTGGATAAATTTGAAACACAGGTACTTAATAATAATATTCTTTTTTAACCTTTAACTGGTCCGGCGTCGTCTACTACGCTAAATAATTAACTCATTCTTATTAATTACTGGGACCGCCCACACGATTGGCGTTCCAGCTAATCCTTCCCCTCTCGCTCAATGACTCAATGACTGATAGCCATATTTATGCCCAAATTGGATTAGTTTTTTAGAAGTTCTGGCAGAAGTAACTTCAGCTCTGTAGTCTCTCAGACTACGCCGGACCGTTTGTGTAAGATTTTTTGTGTGACAAACTTTTGTAAAATATGGCCGGGCCTTCGAAAAGAGTGCATTTAGGAGACTCTAGTTACGAAGAAACGCTTATAAAATGATATGATGAAGACTGTGATAGTGACAATATGACAATCTGTCAGACAAATGCGTTACAATGTCAAATATTCCACGAGAAATACGCTTTACAAATGGTAGAATACTTGCAATTCCTCTACAAACAGAACACGCCTACGGAGATATTCTTATCCTAGAATTATTATACTAGTTAAAGACAATGTTTTGTCTTAGTTAATTATTTTTAATGTCTATAATGTACGAATCCATTGTGTAAAACATGTTCAGGAAAACAATGAACTTTGACACATGCTGTAACTAAAAACTTTTTCTTTAACTCCAGTTTTATAACTTTTTTTTATATATTATAGTATTAAAAACTTATTTCTATATTGTAATGATTGTTAGAAATTTGGTTATATTTTTTAAAGCTTTTATATGTACTTTATTTTATTTTGAACTATATTTTCTTTAAAGTTTATATTAATTGAACCCATTTTTGTCTAGATTAGTTTAATAATACATAATATAATATATAATGAAATAAAAATTTGTTATTTTTTAGTTATTGTTCGTTTTTTAACTTTTTAGAAGGAGTAGTCCTACAGACTACGCCGGACCGTTTATGATACATATCTATTACCGGACCAGTTAAGGGTTAATAAACCTCTTTTGTACTTTCTGAATCTGTAAATAAAAGCATAATGAAAAATCTAATTTAGATATCAGGACAAAAGGCTCTTAGCCTATAAGGTTAGCCTATGTTGTGGTCCTCTTCAGAAGGGCCAACTTGTTGAGGGCCTTTTCGGGTGTGGAATTAATGTACACTGTTGTTTTTTAATATAACTTAACTTTAATTATGATAATCTAATTACAATAGTTACCCTGAGGGAAACTGTGAAAAATAATAACGTGTTGAAGAGTAAAGTTATCTCTTGATATTTTGTCGAATTCGGCCTCCTTGATGAGATAAACGCTATTTTATTAGTCACAATTAATAAAATAAAATTAATAAATTATATATTAACAAATTTATTATAAAATATTATTACTATTAGTTATTATTACTATTAGCCCAACCTACAGCAATTTCAAATAAAAAAATAATGATATTTAAGATAATTATAAAAAACCAAATTTTAAAAAGTTTTAACATCTTGTAACTCGAAAATTATGCATTTTCATACTTATGTTTATAGGAACCTTTTTCATATTTTTTAATGAGTACTTATTTAAAACTTTTGCAGGTTAATAATATTAAATTTTTTTAAAGGTTGCTATTATTAATAAACTTGCGTTTATCTCATCAAGGAGGCCGAAATCGACATAATATCAACTTTCAATCGGTATTAAACTGCTTACACTATTTCGCTAACAAGAGAAAAAAAAGTCAGTGGCGTACATGCTTTTTTTTAGAAAAATATTCCAGTGATAACCCATATGCACGTCCCTGGTGAATATGTCGACACTTTTTTAGATTTAAAATATGTCGCATTTATAGTAACTTTTACCCTCAAAATTTCATTCGAAACACTAAAAGTATTTGGAAGAAAATTAAAATAAATCGAAAAAATATTAAGACTATAACACACTGTAGCTACGAAACAAAGCAGAATCGGACCTATGTTGATATGAAAAATAAATCTTATTTTTACGTGAGGAATCTCCCGACGAGAGAGGGCACATGTTTTTTGAAACACCCTGTATATAGAGAGCATATATATCGTCGGTGAAATGTGATAAACTGCTAACTCCATTATTCCTAATTTTACAGGAGAGCAAAAAAACGGTACAAAAAAATATGTACAGGGTGGGTTAAATTGAATGCTTTTAAAGGGAAACACCCTTTTCTATAGGAGATAGACGAAAACTAATATCAGTGTCTGGAGCTCAATTTCTGTCAATCAAAAACATGATGGTGAAAACCGCACATCAATATCTGTTACCGTTGCGGAGTTACAGAGTGGTTTTTAAAAATGGGCATTTTAAACAAATCGCTGTAACTTTTTTGCTATGAAAAATTTTGCCACTTTTTTTTAAAAGTTTGCCACTATTAACTAGTAAGCTTTGAACCCCTTATTGATGATATGCCCCTAATAGAACCATAAACCATATTTTTTCAGCAAGACGAGGCACCGCCTCAGAACGCTGAAGTTATCAGAAAATTTTTGCAGCCAATTTAGCCTTATTTTTAAATTGCCCATATAATCTAGACAAGAGTTAGAAGTACTTAGCAGTTATGGGAGGGTATCTTTCACCCCCACTGAGTTAAAGAATTCCGCGAGAAATTTTCAAAAACGGCCCTGTCTGCCCACAACAGAATACGGTCGATATGTCGAACTAGCGATGGGAACTATCGAATGAATTAGACTATCGAATGGTTACTGAATGAATGATTTCAACTATCGAATGGTTTTATTCGAATAAAATCATTCATTTATTTGTATACTAAAGCATACGTGACAACCTCGCTGTGCCACTAAATGGTTATCGTTGAGCCACGACTATCGAATGCTTTTGATAAATGAAATTTAGTATCCGTTTGATTTTTGTGTGCGTCAGTGCATTATTAGTTCTTCCAAATTTTTATAACTTCGCCGTATAAATACTGTGCTATTTTTTATTAAAATATTTAAAATACTAAAATAGTAGTTTTTTTTAATTGACGATTGTGTGCGTGTGCAGGTGGTCAACATTTTTCCGAAAATTTTTGTGATTTTCCGTAGCCCGATCTTTCAATTATTTAATTTTATATGGTATATGGTCTATTTTTTAATGGAAAATTTTGAGAAGTAGCAATTTTCAAGAGAGATGAGATGAACTTACAATTAATTTTAAAAAGATATTTGTATTTTAAATGTTTTAATAATATGAATTAGTTGAACTTAATAATCATATTTAAGTAATGTGGTTAAATGGGGGGTTATCGAACTCAAACTATGGGGTGAGAAAATTAAATTGAAAGTTTTACACGTGCCAATTTTAAAAAAAGTTAACGATATTTGTATTTTGTTTATGCTAATTCTCTTACATGTAGTTTTTTGCGAAGAAATATTTCATTTATTTTTTAAAGTAAATGCCAGTAAAAGTAAATAATATTATTTTTAAACAGTAATATAAAGCACCTAATATAAATAATTTTGATTTTTAATTTTTTATTTATATTTTCCTTCCATTACACTGCATGCTTAGAAAATTAATAAATGTTGATATTTCATGATTTTAAAATTTGTTGTTAATATAACAAATTAGTTTTGTAATTATTATTATTTAAAAAACAACCGTTGCCAAAAAATTTAGAGTCTATATTATTTTTAAATAGGATCTAATATAAATAATTTTGACATCTAATTTGTTGTTTATATTTTGCCACTACTTAAAAAAATGTTTATATTAAAACCGGCGTGAAGATAGCCACGGTTTTCCATCCACGGTTTTAGAAAAATCCCAACCATAGTAAACATATGGCAACGACGCTTTTCGTCCATTTTCAGCCACATCCACGGTTTTCGGTGTCGAAACGCCTCAATTAAAATATATCTACAGCCACACTTTTCTGTTGTTACAAATATTATTAAAGATTTAGAAGAATTATATATTAAGTTAATAGAAATGGTCGAGTTTATATTTATATATAATGAACAATTATTTATAAGATATAGATTTAACTTTAAAAATCCTCTTAAAAATTTAAATTCTATCTAGTTCTTAGCAAAAATTGATACTAATTTATTAAAGGTTGTGCCACAGCGAGACCCTTTTGGAAAGATGTATAGGCGACTAGGGTACAGTACCCTATACTCAAACCATTTGCCGGTCTTTAGGAAAGGGCCAGATTCAAAAACCGATATTTTACATAAATCAGACAGAAAAAAATCGCCACCAATGAGCAGGTTGTGCCACAACGAGGATTTGAACGATACAGATGAGTACACCATCGTACTCAAAATCATTTGCCGGTCCGTAGGAAAGGGCCAAGTTCAAAAACCGCCAGCTTTACAGAAAAAAATTGTAGCTCATTTAAGGGTTGTGCTGCAGAATACCTGAAACGATGACAGATGACAGTACACCACCTGCGCATCAAAACCATTTGCCGGTCCGTAGGGAAAGGGCCAGAATCAAAAAACTGTAATTTTACCTAAAATTAGTGATTTTTTTTCTGTCTAATTTTAGGTAAAATTACAGTTTTTTGATTCTGGCCCTTTCCCTATGGACCGGCAAATGGTTTTGAATACGGGGTGGTGTACCCTTGTCATCTGTACATCGTTTCCAGGTGGTCTCGATGCGGCACAACCCTTAATAAATGAGCTACAAATTTTTTCCTGTTAATTTTCTAGAGAAACAGCGGTTTTTTGAACTTGGCCCTTCCTAACGGACCTAAAATTGGCGATTTTGAATACGGGGTGGTGTACCCTTGTCATCTGTACATCGTTTCCAGGTGGTCTCGTTGCGGCACAACCCTTAATAAATGAGCTACAATTTTTTTTCTGTTAATTTTCTAGAGAAACAGCGGTTTTTTGAACTTGGCCCTTTTCCTACGGACCGGCAAATGATTTTGAATACAGGGTGGTGTACCCTTGTCATCTGTACATCGTTTCCAGGTGGTCTCGTTGCGGCACAACCCTTAATAAATGGGCTACAAATTTTTTTCTGTTAATTTTCAAGAGAAACAGCGGTTTTTTGAACTTGGCCCT